GTCTCATCACTTAAATTAAGAGTTACGGTGCAGCAATAACTAAAAATACAACTTGAACTACATAGACCATGATCCTTTGCTCCGTTTCAGTGCAGTACGTGAAGAAATAACAGTTTTAAATCTTTGTTAAGTCTTGTCGAGGCATTATAAGAAGAAAAAGTAGCGCAATTAGTTTTGTTACTCGCAATAAATATCGTACCGTGAGATTTGGATATCGTTACATCCATGGCAATACAGGAGTGCTCCACTGTGTTTTTAAAGTCCATACACCTTCACTAGAATCAGCATCTTCATATAACCTCTCGTATAAAGCTGACATTTTATATTTTATTACTTATTTTTCTATTTTATCTTGACGTATACATACAGTTCTGGGAAAAAAAAAAAAAGAAACCACTGCAAAATTATCTGTTTCTTTCTGATTTTACTACTTATAAGTATGTGTTTGAGTAAAATGAAAATCTTTGTTTCATTCTATAAACTACTGACAACATTTCTCCCAAATTCCAAATAAAAATATTGTCATTTAGAGCATTTATTTGCAGAAAATGACAAATGGTCACACAGCTTTTCATGCGTCTTGGGATACTCTCCGCCACCTTACTCCAGTCCTCGATGGTCCAATCCTTATGGTCTTTTGCAAACCTCAGCCTGACTCTTCTTTGCTTCTCGTTGATGAATGTTTTTTTTTTTCTAGCTTTACACGACTTGAGCCCTGCCCCTAGGAGCTTGTTTCGAACTGTTCTTACTGTGCACTTCACCATTTTAGACAAAAAAATGCAGTGGTCTCTTATTTTTTTCCAGAGCTGTACACATTTATATAATTATGTCTTATTTGACACCAGTCTCTTGCTCTTTTTACCATTTATTAAGAATTTATTATTAACATTAACATTTTTTACTCTTTATTATATTATGTTGTGATGTGTTGGTACAGAGCATTCTGAACTTTGGAGATGTACAAACTAATAATAAACAATGCGTGAATGAAACAAAACACAAGTCCGGGTATGTTTTTGACGAGATAACGACATTCTAACACGGCTAAAAGCTCACGAGAGTCAATTTTGAGTAATATAGGGACTTTTAAACGAACCTCAACTCGTATTTGTTTACTTTTACGTTCTTTTGACTTTAAAACTACAGCTTCATGAGATCACAAGGTGGTACAGAGCTTTTTAAGCTTTGGAGATGTACAAACTAATAATAAACGCTGTGTGAATGAAACAAAACGCAACTCCGGGTATGTTTTTGACGAGATAACGACATTCTAATGCGGCTTAAAGCTCACAGGAGTCAATTTTGAGTAACTTTAAAACGAACCCCAACTCGTATTTGTTTACTTTTACATTCTTTGGACTTTAAAACTATGGCTTCATGACATCACAAGGTGGTACAGAGCTTTTTTTAGCTTTGGGGATGTACAAACTAATAATAAAAGATTACAAAACACAAGTCCGGATATGATTTTGATGAGATAACAACATTTTAACACGGCTAAAAGCTCACGAGAGTCAATTTTGAGTCATTTTAAGATGAACCCCGACTCATATTTGTTTACCTTTACGTTCTTTTGACTTTAAAACTACGGCTTCATGACATCACAAGGTGGTACAGAGAATTTTACGCTTTAGAGATGTACAAAATAATAATAAACGCCATGAGAATGAAACAAAATACAAGTCCGGGTAAGTTTCTGACGAGGTAACAACATTCTAACACGGCTTAAAGCTCACAGGAGTCAATTTTGAGTAACTTTAAAACGAACCCCAACTCGTACTTGTTTACTTTTACATTCTTTGGACTTTAAAACTATGGCTTCATGACATCACAAGGTGGTACAGAGCTTTTTTTAGCTTTGGGGATGTACAAACTAATAATAAAAGATTACAAAACACAAGTCCGGATATGTTTTTGATGAGATAACAACATTTTAACATGGCTAAAAGCTCACGAGAGTCATTTTTGAGTAACTTTAAAAATGAACCCCAACTCATATTTGTTTATTTTTACGTTCTTTGGACTTTAAAACTACGGCTTCATGACATCACAAGGTGGTACAGAGAATTTTACGCTTTAGAGATGTACAAAATAATAATAAACGCCATGAGAATGAAACAAAATACAAGTCCGGGTAAGTTTCTGACGAGATAACAACATTCTAAAAGCTCATGAAAGTCAATTTTGAGTAATACAGGGACTTTAAAACGAACCCATACTCATATTTGTTTACCTTTACATTCTTCGGACTCTATAGTGATCCCTACGCGCGCAGCTTTCGCACCGAAATCCGCCGTGCTCTGCAAAGGCTTCCCTGACAGCCGCGGCCACCTGTCCTATTGTGGGATCAGTCAGCGGCTTAACCTGGCAGAGCTGACACGGGCTGACAGATTGGGCCTGAGCCTCGGTACCGAATTAAACGGATAACTCTCCATCATCTCATTAAGATCTTCGCTAATAGGACTGGTGGCTCGGACCGGCTCACGGGAACACCGCAGCGCCTACAGTAATGACATTAACTGCAGTAGGATCAGGGGCAGATCTGCGGAAACAATACACATTTCGAGTCGTCGGGTTGTTAAATAGTGTTAAAAAAAAAAAAAAAGAGTTCTCGTTAAATTACGGTGATGAGAATTTCAAAATAAAACACTGGGACGCTCTCGGTTTGGGGTGGTTGGTAATAATAATAATGAAACTATAAAACGACAGCGTAATTATTAAGAATTGTTCTGCGCTTGGCTCATTCACGACTAAAGCTGGGTATGATTAAAAAGCTGCCGATACGATACATACCTCGATAAATAGGCCACGATACGATATGTTTCAAATCAAATCGATAAAAAATAAAGGCTAAATCGTAACTCTGATACTAAAAGTCACTGTTAAGCCACAAAATTCATAAGAAAATCAAACATTTTAATCAACAAAACAGTAAAAATGACGAGTTTCCTTCCACGAAACAAACAACAAAACTAAAAATGATTGAGCAAAATATACCAAAAAATACTCTTGGCGATATATCGATACAGTAGCCCACTATATCGATACGGTATCATCACATTAAACGATAAATCGATATAGAAAAGCTGCTTTAAAATGACCAAAACACAAAGAAAATGTGACTATACTGACTTCCATGTTATTTGTGAGTAGGGGTGTGCAAAAATATCAGAATAGTGATATATCGTATCGTTTAATGTGATGATACAGTACCGATATCGTGAGCTGCTGTATCGATACATCGCCAATTTGGTGTATTTTACTAAATTATTTTGTTACAGTGCTACAGTTTTGTTGCTTGTTCAGAGGAAGGAAACTCTTATGTGACAGATTTAATATTTTCACAGTTTTGATGATTAACATGTTTGTGTTTCATATGAAAATGTAAAAAAGTGGTTTAAGAAAGACTTTTAGCATCACAGCCACAACTTATCCTTTACTTTTTATTGAACCGTATCGAATCGATTTGAAATATATCGTATTGAATCATAACTGTATGGCGGTATGAATCGTATCAGCAACTTCTTAATGTCTTAATTGATATATCGTATTGTTTAATGTGATGATACAGTATCGAAATCGTGAGCAGCTGTATCGATAAATCGCCAAGAGTGTTTTCGCTCGCCTCTATTCTCTATATGACTAACATGTAAGCCAGTATAGTCACATTTTCTTAGTCATATTAGTTTGTAGTCACATTTTCTTTAGTGTTTTGGTCATTTTTAAGCAGCTTTTCTGTATTTTATCTCAAGAAATGTCAATTTAAGCCTGTCTTTACTGTCAAATCCCTGCAAAATAGGGACATTTCTTGCACAAAACTGGGACAAATCGATGGTTTTGGATAAATTCAGTGGGACAGGGGACACAGGACTGAAAATAGAGACATTTAACCACCTTAAACTAAAACCCTACACTTGCAAGTCCACGTACAGGCATAGACAGGCGTATACTTTTAGTATCACAGCCACAATTTATCCTTTACTTTTTATTGAAACGTATCAAATCGATTTGAAATATATCGTATTGAATCAAAACCGAGGTACGCATCGTATCAGCAACTTCTTAATGTCTTAATTGATATATCGTATTGTATAATGTGATGATACAGTATCGATATCGTGAGGAGCTGTATCGATAAATCGCCAAGAGTGTTTTCGCTCACCTCTATTCTCTATACGACAAAAATTTAAGCCAGTATAGTCACATTTTCTTTGTCATATTAGTTTGTAGTCACATTTTCTTTGTGTTTTGGTCATTTTTAAGCAGCTTTTCTATATTTTATCTCAAGAAATGTCAATTTAAGCCTGTCTTTACTGTCAAACCGGTCCAAAATAGGCGCATTTCTTGCACAAAACTGGGACAAATTGATGGTTTTGGATAAATCCAGTGGGCCAGGGGACACAGGACTGAAAATAGAGACATTTAACCACCTTAAACTAAAACCCTACACTTGCAAATCCACGTACAGGCGCAGAAAACGAAAAGGGGAACTGTCGTGATGGGTGGCTAAGCAAAACTGGTCATGTCTATTTTATCCCTTGGCATGTGACGAGGAAGTACCGTCCAAAAGCTACACAATTCGAGATGCCATTTCTTAGGATTTGCTCGGTTCTGATCGCGGTGAAGTTGGGGACTGAAAAATGCCCAGAAAGAAAACTGGCTGCACCCACTATGCTAACAGGGATTTAGCCTCGGTGCTAACAGTCCGACAACAATAACTGCGCTGCGGTGTAATTATAAAACTGTACGATTTGAGTTGATCGCGGCGAGAAAAACACTTGAATTGGAAAAAATAGACGTGTACAGATGCTGTTCTGTTGTAAAATTGCGAGATAGTTTGTACAGGAAGAGCTCAGACCTAAAAAACAGAAGGTAAACATTTTTTTTTCGGTGCTGCTGCTGCTGCTGCTAGCGTCGCGCAGCTAGCTCCGCGTCGCTGGAGCTGGACTAGCCTGCGTCGCGAACTTTTCCACGGCGTAAAAACACCAGAAAAAACTCACCGATGGGTTTAATCCGTACAGATCCCGCAAAGAGAACGAATTTACCCCCGGTGTGTCACGATCCACGCCCCGTTTTCTCTTCGGAAAGCGGCGCTGAGGCGATGTCAGGGGTGGCAGGGAACGCTCGCTCGCTCGCTCGCTTGTCTGTTTCGAGAAGCCTAAAAAAAAAAATCGAGCTGCTAGCGTAAGGTCTGCCGCTTATTTCCGCTTCCTTTCCCCCGTCCCTGCTGCTCTCTGCCGCGGGGAGGGTCCGGATCCAAGCCCCGGCCTCTTCTCGTCTGTGGTTGTGGCAGCTCCTCCCTCGAAGCGCTCGGAGGCTGGTTTGCGTGTCTGACGAGCCCGCAACATCCCAGATGAGAAGCCAACAACTGGGGTTAATTATGGCTCATGTGAAAATGTAGCGGGGGATACCTGTTATTTGGCACTTGGAGATGTTTTGAGTTTCTTTTCCCCGTGTTGAATACAGCGGGGATAATGGGAACAGCTGGTATTTGGCGCTTGGAGATGTTTTGGTTTGGTGCGTAATGGTTTGGTTACGCACAGAAAAGGGTGACTTGAGGCTTAATATATATTTTTCACGAGCAATCGACCACTTTTTTGTAGTATTTAAGAATCTGTGACAGTTGCATTTACTCAGTTAATGACTTAAATAACTTTTTTTTTGTTGAATATAGCGGGGATAATAGCAATAGCTCGTAATTGGCACTTGGAGATGTTTTGGTTTGGTGTTAAACTGTTTGGTTACGCACAGAAAAGGGTGACTTGAGGCTTAATATATATTTTTTAGAAAGTTTCACAAGCAATAGGACATGTTTTTGTAGTATTTAAGAATATTTGACTGCTACATTTAACCCTAACACTTTTTTTTTTTTTTTTTTTTTGTGACGAATATAACTGGGACAATGGCAATAGCTCATTTTTGGTACTTAGAATTGTTTTTGGTTACTTTTGCGTAATGGTTTGGTTACACACAAAAAATGGTAACTTGAGGCTATATATATATATATATATATATATATTTTAGAAGCTTTCATGAGCAATAGGACATATTTTTGTAGTATTTGAGAATATTTGACAGCTGGATTTACTCAGTTAATGACTTAAATAACTTTTTAAAAATCTTTTTTGAGTTGAATATAGCGGGGATAATGGCAATTGTTGGTATTTGGTATTTGGAAATGTTTTGGTTTGGTGAGTAATTGTTTGGTTATGCACAGAACAGGGTAACTTGAGGCTTACTATATATATTTTAGAAACTTTCACGAGCAACATGTCATCTTTTTGTAGTATTTAAGAATCTTTAACCACTACATTTAACCCTAACCCCCTCTTTTTTTCTTTTTTCGTGTTGAATATAGCCGGGATACCTGGTATTTGGCACTTGGAGGTATTTTGGTTACTTGTGAGTAATGGCTTGGCTACACAAGTAACTTGAGGCTATATATATTTTTTTTTTACGAGCAATAGGACACCTTTTTGTAGTATTTATTCATTTTTCACAGTTACATTTACTCAGTTAATGACTTAAATAATTTTTTTTTTCTTTTTTTTGTGTTAAATATAGTGGGGATACCTGTTATTTGGCACTTGGAGATGTTTTTAGTTTCAGGGTGACAGGCAAAAGTAACTTGAGGTTTAATATATATATTTAAGAACTTTCACGATACTTTCACAATAGGGCATCTTTTTAAGAATCTTTGGCAGCTACATTTAACCCTAACCCTTTTATTTTATTTGATTTTATTTTTATTTTTTCGTGTTGAATATATAACGGGGATACTGGTTATTTGGTACTTGGAGATGTTTTGGTTACTTGTGCGTCATGGTGTGGTTACACACAGAACAGGGTGACATACAAAAGTAACTCGAGGCTTTATTTCTTTCTTAGTAATGTTCATGAGTCACAGGCCACCTTTTGTAGCAATTAAGAATCTTGAACAGCTACATTTAACCTTAACCCTTTTCTTTTTTTTCTTTTTTTTGTGTTGAACATAACGGGGATAAAGGCAATAGCTCGTATTTGGCACTTGGAGATGTTTTTGGTTACTTGTATATTTGTATACTTGTTTGGTTACGGTATATTTAGAAACTTTCACGAGCAATAGGACATCTTTTTGTAGTATTTAAAAAAAAATCACAGTTACATTTACTCAGTTAATGATTTAAAATGTTTCTTTTTTTGTGTTGAACATAACGGGGATAATGGTAATTGCTGGTATTTGGTACTTGGAGATGTTTTGGTTACTTGTGCGTCATAGTTTGGTTACGCACAAAAGTAAGAGGCTTTATTTCATTCTTAGTCACTTTCACGAGCAATAGGACATCTTTTTGTAATATTTAAGAATATTTAACAGCTAAATTTGCTCAGTTAATGACTTGAATAAGTTTGTTTTTTCTTTTTCTGTGTAAAATATAACGGGGATACATGTTATTCAGCACTTGAAGATGTTTTTAGTTTCTTTTTCCGTGTTAAATATAACAGAGACATTGGCATTTGCTGGTATTTGGCACTTGGAGATGTTTTGGTTACTTGTGAGTAATCAATCAATCAATCAATCAAACTTTATTTGTATAGCACTTTTCATACATTTGAAATGTAGCACAAAGTGCTTCACATGCAACAGAAAAATTACAATACAATAATTAAAATCAAGAGCAACCCCCCACCCCATCCCATTGTTTCATCCATATATACAACCATTTAAACAAAAACATAAAAACAAAAACATAAAACTCCTAAAGGTTATTATAAAAATCAAAATGGAGACAAAGTAAAACAGTAATGATAATTTAATTTAGAATAAATAAATAATAATAATAATAATAATAATAATAATAATAATAATAATAATAATTTAAGTTAAAACAGATAAAAGTTTCAATTAAAAGCTAAATTAAAAAGATACGTTTTCAGTTTACTTTTAAAAATATGAACACTCGCAGCGGACCTCAGATCCTCAGGTCGACTGTTCCACAAACGGGGGCCGTAAAAACTGAATGACGCCTCATCGTTAGTTTTAGTTTGGACTCTTGGGACAGTTAAAAGAAGACTACCTGAGGACCTGAGAGTCCGAGAGGCTCATATGATAAAAGCAGATCAGATAAATAAATAGGACTAAGACCATTAAGAGCTTTATAAACTAATAAAAGAACTTTAAAATCTCTCCTGAAGCTCACAGGAGCCAGTGCAGAGACTTCAGTACTGGGGTGATGTGCTCTCGCTTCCTGGTCCTTGTCAGCAGTCGTGCTGCAGAGTTTTGGAGGAGCTGCAATGGAGCTGTATGTAGATTTCTTTGGAAGACCAGAAAGGAGAGCATTGCAGTAATCAACACGATTTGTAATAAAAGCATGTATTAAAATCTCTGCACTGGCTTGATAGAGAAATGGTCAGACTCTGGCAATATTTTTTAGATGATAAAAACCAGATTTAGTGATGGACCTGATGTGTGGCTCAAAGCTAAGCTCACTATCAAGAGTAACTCCTAAACTCTTGACCCTCTCACAGGGGTTCAGTGAGTAGGTTTGGAGCTTTGAGCCTCTCTCTCTGAGCTTCAGGACCAATAATTAAAACCTCGGTTTTGCCCTGGTTGAGCTGGAGGAAGTTTGCTGCCATCCAGGACTTAATATCTAAAATGCAGGTAAAAAGGGTGTCGATCGGGCTCAGGTCACCAGGAGACACGGCGATATAGAGCTGGGTATCATCAGCATAGCTATGAAAGTTAACACCGTGTCTCCTGATGACCTGTCCTAGTGGCAGCATGTAAAGATTAAAAAGGGTTGGACCTAAAATTGAGCCCTGGGGAACACCGCACTCCATTTTACATTTTGCGGAGGAGTGTTCCCCAAGACTAACATAAAAATCCCTGTTTGTTAAAAAAGATTTGAACCAGTTAAAAACAGACCCAGAGAGACCGACTGCATAATGTATCTATCTAGTAAAATACAGTGGTCTACAGTGTCAAATGCTGCCGTGAGATCCAACAGCACCAGGACTGACAAATTCTTCTTGTCCATGTTGGATCTTATATCATCTAGGATTTTTACTAGTGCAGTCTCTGTGCTGTGGTGAACTCTAAAACCAGATTGATGAATTTCAAAGATATTGTTGGCAATCATAAAATCATTAATTTGGTTAAAAACTATTTTCTCTAAAATTTTACTTAAAAACGGCAGATTGGACACAGGTCTGTAGTTACTGAGCAGGGAGGGGTCCAAGTTGTCCTTTTTAAGCAGAGGTTTGACCATAGCAGTTTTGAGTGGTGTTGGAAAAACCCCTGTCTGCAGCGACAAATTTACAATGTTAAGGACTTCTTGGGCTAAAAAATTAAAAACTGATTTAAAAAGTGATGTAGGGATAGGATCTAAAAAACAAGTGGCTGGTTTCAATTGTAAAATTATTTTGTTAAGAGTCGTAGCATCAACCAGGGCAAAACTATCAAGTGTGTTTGATAAAATACAGATGTTACTTGGTTGTATCTGCTGCATTTCAGCTCTAATGGACTGTATTTTATTGCTGAAGTAAGTCACAAAATCCTCACAGTTTGGCATGTTTGATGGCTCCTTCCAATTACGAACAGGGTCGATAACCGAACTAATCGTGGAGAATAGAATCCTGGGATTTTTAATGTTATTATTTATAAGTTGGGAGAGGTATGCTTCGCATTTCATACCATTATTGTATTTTCTCACTTGTTCACGGTAAATTTCATAGTTTATTGTAATTTTATTCTTGCGCCATTTTCTTTCTGCTTTTCTACAATTTTGCTTCAGTTGTCTTGTTTTTTCATTTTTCCAAGGAGACTTTTTTGTCTTCACAGTTTTGAGTTTTAGAGGTGCCACAGCATCAAGGGTAGATTTTAATTTATTATTAAAATATTCTACAGTAAAATCACATGAGGATGGTAAAAAAGGAGTTGGAGTGTTGTCTAATATTTCTGTAAAGTTTGTTGTGACTTCAGCAGTAATACAGCGCTTTCTGACAATGCATTCTGATATGGGGGGTTGCTCAAAAGTTATATTAAAAAATATACAGTCATGGTCTGAAAAGCCCACGTCCACAACAGAGGCAATGTCTACTGATATTCCATATGAAATTACTAAATCTAATATATGGCCTCTGTTGTGGGTGGGCTGTAAAACATTTTGTTTAAAATTCATACAGTTTAAAAGGTTTAAAAAATCTGTCGCTAGTGAGTCTGATTTAACATCAATGTGTAAATTAAAATCCCCTACAATTATAATTCTATTGTAATTTGAGTGAGCAATGGACAGGAGGTCTGAGAAATCTGCCGTAAAAGAAGAGGAGTGTTTAGGTGGGCGATAAATACAAATAAGGAGGATGGAAGGATTTGTTAAGACCAGGGAGTGATGCTCAAATGAAGGGTACTGATTGAAATGAATATTTTTGAAATTATGTTTAGCAGAGAGGATTATGGCTGTGCCACCTCCTTTTTTATTGAGGCGAGATGAATACGAATAACTATAGTTAGGAGGTGTGGTTTCGTTTAGGGTTACGGCTCCATCTGTGCCTGTCCATGTCTCTGTTAAAAACATACAGTCTACAGCCTCATCTACAATCATATCATTAATTATAAAAGATTTATTGGCCAGAGATCTAACATTTAAAAGTCCCATTTTACATGTCAGTGGTATTTTGTTCATTGTATTAGCATGAGTAATTAAAATATTATTCCGACTAATAGATCTAGCTTTCGTATGTCTTTTAGTTTGAATAGGTCGAGTTATACGAACTGGGATATCATGTACAAGTGGACCTGATCCTGGTGACCCAGCTGGCACTGGTGGTGACAGGGTTGGAGGTGGTGGTGACCCAGTATGTTCAATATGGTGCTGTTCTCGTGGAGACAGGGAGGGGGTGCTAGTCTGAGACCAGCAGCGCGTTGAACGGTCTGAGGAAGAGGCAGCTGGGCGGTGTGTGGGGGAAGTAAACAGTTATTCACGTGCAGGTACCGTAGCCAAGAGGGTCTGGCTGCAGACACATGGGGAAAGTGGAGCTCCACTCCAGACCGGAAACACGTGACCTCCACCAAAGACGTCATCTCTACTTTTATGTAGACGTATGGGGCGACGATACGATTTATTTTGACCGCAATTAAATGTTTATCAAATAAGATTGTTTTTACGTTATGGAATTTGTTCGCACATATAAACACAGAGCAAAACGACCATCTGGAAGACGGAGAAAACATGTGAGTAACACGCTTTTAACTTTAGGAAATCATTACTAACACAACTGTAAATGTAAAATACAGCCATAACTCCCACAAAACTGTCAAATAAGTTTATTTTTAACTGCGTGAACCTCGGAGATTTGAGCTAAAAGTTTGATTAGTAATCTGCAGCTAACGCGATGAAAAGTCAGCTCAAACTTTCATATTTGGACAGATTTCCATCAAACACTAATCATGTTTTTACTGTTTGGGGTAAAGAAGCCCACGGAGTGATTTAATGAAGCTACGAGGAGAAAACGCCGCATTTTCACGCACAGTGACTGGGTTAAACTTGTAAACAGTTGGCCAGTATAAGTGTAAGTGCAGTAAGATAAAAACACGCATTATTTCATGCATTACACATAAAAGACACAGTTTTTTATGTTTAATGTATAAAACATTAAACATGTCAAAGCTTATATTTACTTATATTCACGTAACATAAACCTTCAACGTGTGCATTTCATTCTGGGAATACATTATCTGCTTTTAACAATCCGTGCATGTTTGTAAAGTGAAAAGTAAAGAATCCTGCCTGGACAGGTCAGATATAAGGTGGACATGAGGCTCATTTAACAGATTTTGCAGACACTGTTGTAGATACTAGACTAGACCTGTGTCTGTTTGGCCTTTCACATCTAATATCAGAACAGTGAGTAAACTGTTTGATATTCATGTTCTTTTCGCATCTGCAGCTTCCTGTATGAGAACACAACACACTGCTGGGGCCACAGAAATGTTGGCTGATGAGACGCTCATGATTCATGAAATGGGTCAAATGCAGATGACAAAGAAAAGCAACACTGAGCAGGAGGTGCTGACCCAGACTTCTGCCTCTGTTTAGGTCTGGGACATGTTACATTGAAAACTCCAATAATAATAAGGGCTGCAAATGAATCAGGCTCATGTTGAAATCATTATTTAATTTTCTGAAAATGCACATTTCTCAAATGTGTGAGATTTAGCTGTTTGGATTTATGTAATAGTTTTCTTAATGTGTGTGTCATTACAGGTTTTCACTCTGCAGACAGAAATTTCAACCAGTCAGACTTAAGGCCCATTCTGCTCTTCCTCCTCCAGAACACGAGAGACACATCAGACTGAATGATCCAAGTCCACTGGGTCATGTCTCCACTGTCCATGTCCAGACTCACAGAGGAGGAGCAGGTCCAGACTGCAGACCTGTGGAGCCTCTGGTTGCATCAGGCCTTCCTCCTGCACATTCTGTTTGCTGCTGTTCCTAATGTGTCCTAATAGTGATGTGTCCATAAAGATTAGGTTTAACGTCTAATTTCCTCCAGAAGTGAAACAGTAAAATGGTGGTTTCTGTTCGTCTTAGCTGAGGAGCACCTAAACAGCTTTATCACTGAGGAAGTGTCCCATGATAAATGTGGTCCTTATATGACCTTAACAAGTGTATGAGACAAAACTAGAGTCATAGAAGTTGCTCATAATAAGTTTTTCTGAATGTTTTTCATTCTGTACTGATGTTTGATTCATGATGAAATGTGCCATTTACTTTCTGTCTCTTTTTGAAAGTAACTAACTCTTTGGGAAGAACTCTTTGAGAGTACACTGACATACAGCTATTTGTACTCACCTATTAATGCAGTTTGTGTTTGTGTTTGTGTAATGGGTTTAATGTTTGACTATTCACATTATGATAAAGTATTTACAGTATTTACAATCCTTTGATTGTTTAATAAACCGTCTTTTCTCAAAGCAGAGACGTCTTTCTTTATAAAATGACTTAAATACATCCCCGGGTATAAATGTAATCCTAATAGTTTTTGAAACTTTAAGGCAATTTAGTCTATTTTAGATGTATCCCAGAAATATCGCCGTTTTGTTTTGCAAAAGTTAAACATAAGTTATCGTTTTTAGCCATAAGATTTGGATGAGAATTTTTAGAATAACTTGGTCTAAAATTCCAAGTTTGATTACCCGTGCGTCATCTGCGTGGTACGTGTTGTTAGCATTAGCATTAGCAAAGTGTCTCGGTTGCTAGGCGACGGGGCGGCTCCGTGGGCTACACCTGTCACATTTCAGCTACGGTGAGGGCTGCGGCCTTCACAGCCTTCGAAAGCTGCCGCCCTGGAATTGGGACACGGCTAATATGGCTAATACGAATAAAAAAATAAAAAATAAAACTCTATCGTAGATATGACGTGTATCCGGTGGAGGTCACATGTTTCCGGTCTGGAGTGGAGCTCCACTTTCCCCATGTGTCTGCAGCCAGACCCTCTCACCGTAGCCGGTACGCTTACCCGGTTGTGGACAGCGTAGACTATGTAGTTTTTAAGCAGACGGTTTCCAAGTCTATTTAGGTGTGTGAGGGGCGGTCCCAGAACAGATTAAAATTGTCAATGAAGTTGATGAGGTGGGACCTGCAGACGGAGCTGAGCAGCTGTTTAAATGAAGGGTCCTATCGAGTCGCTCAGCACCGCGATTCAAGGTGGGAATGGGACCAGAGACAAACACAGACATGCCTTGACTAGTCCACGGCTTTAAAACATTGAAAAGATCCTCGAAATCCCTTTTTGTGCTGTCTAATTTCCCTCGTGACATGTCATTTGTCCCTACATGAACTATAATTCTATAAATTGTAGAGGGCATGGACTGGAGCAGGTTAGGAAGTCTGCTCACAATCTGGGACACCGTGGCTCCCGGGAAACAGTGCGTAATGGCATTAAAATAACGAACGTGCCTGATTATTGAGTCACCGATAATAACTGTTTTGGGGGGAAACAGTGGCTGTGGTTGGAGATCAGTTTGTGGGTTTGTGAGCTGTGGATCATCGCCGTGTGAGGAGGACTGACAGGAGACGGGGGCCTCGGACTGAGGGGCCGGGCCAGGTGCTGACCCCTCGGCAGTGCACTCCTGCTCCAGAGGCGCATTCTCGGACAAGATCCCCGGTTGGGCAGCAGCTTGTTGTAGCCGTGGCTCCACCGGTGACTTCGACGCCATCGGCTGTGCCGCGGTTTGGGACCGTGATACCACCGAGGGCGGAGAGTGTGCGCGCAGCGAGGAGTGGAGCGGCAAAGCCGGGGCAGCAGCTTGAGAACCACTGGATCGTCTCAACACAGCCTCTTTTAGGATTTTTCGTCTGGCCGATGATTTAGCACGCTGTACAGTTGACTTGTGGGAGTTTATGGACTGAGAGGACAGGGGAGCAGCGGCCACGGGACATACCGGAACATCGCTTGCAGTAGCCTGAGGGGGGCTTGCGTCCCTTGAGACTGGGACCTTACCTTGGAGAGCCGGGAAATCGATTAAAGAGTCCAGATTGGGGAGTGCCTGTACCGGAGCGGGAGGAGCAGGTGAGTCCGATGCCAGTAAAGAGAAACGATTTGTAAGGTTCAGTTGGAGGGTCATGTCAGATGTACGTTTTCTGTGGTTATTACATACAGCGGAGTCATCGTGGGGCAACGGGGAATGCGGGGTTGAGCAGGAGGGATGGGTAGTTGCCTGTGGGTCCCATGAGACTGTATCCATGAGGGCGCTGTTGAGAAACGCTATGCGTTTGTGTTGTCCTGTAGCAACATCCATTAGTTTAGTAATTATTTCATCCTTTTCCTTCAGTTCAGTGGATAGTCACTGGATCTGCGCTTCTAGACGAGTAATTGCTATGTCATCTTTATCCGTATTTGAGGGGGATTGTCTTTCTCCTGGTGCCATAACTGGCAGTAGTAGGCCCCTCGGCCTTAGTGTTTCCAGAGCGAGCAAGTAGAGAGTCCCGGGAGTGATAAAATATCTTGGTGTGCTGTAAAAACTGCTTAGTAATTGTAATAATCCAGTATATATTTTTTGTGTTGAATATAGTGATAATAGCTGTTATTTGACACTTGGAGATGTTTTGGTTACTTGTGCGTCATGGTTTGGTTACGCACAGAACAGAGTGACAGACAAAAGTAACTTGAGGTTTAATATATATATATTTTAGAAACTTTTACGAGCAATAGGACATCTTTTTGTAATATTTAAGAATCTTTAACAGCTTAATTTACTCAGTTAATGACTTGAATAAGTTTGTTTTTATCTTTCTCTGTGTAAAATATAGCGGGGATACATGTTATTCAGCACTTGGAGATGTTTTTAGTTTCTTTTTACGCGTTAAATATAACAGAGATAATGGCATTTGCTGGTATTTGCTGGTATTTGGCACTTGGAGATGTTTTGGTTACTTGTGAGTAATGGTTTAGTTACGCACAGAACAGAGTGACAGACAAAAATAACTTGAGGCTATATATTTTTTACGAGCGATAAGACACATTTTTGTAGTATTTATTCATTTTTCACAGCTACATTTACTCATTTAATAGCTTGAATAACTTTTATTTTCTTTTTTTGTGCTGAATATAGTGATAATACCAGTTTTTTTGGCACTTGGAAATGTTTTTGGTTACGCGTGCGTCATAGTTTGGTTATGCACAAAAGTAACTTGAGGCTTTATTTCATTCTTAGTCAGTTTCATGAGTCATAGGACAACTTTTTGTTTTATTTAAGAATCTTAATGATGTAAATAACTTTTTTTCCCCCTTTTTTCCTGTTGAATATAGTGAGGATAATGGCTTTTGCTCATATTTGGTACTTGGAGATGTTTGTTTTCTTCGCTTACGTCATATTTAGGCCAAGATTTAGGCCAATTTATTTCTTTTTTTAATATATTTACATTTATTTCACTTAACCTAGGCCTATCTTATTCACGGCTCCTCTTTGCAGACAAAATTTTATTATTTATACTGTTATTTGCCTGCTGTATAATATTAAAATGGAAATAAATTCATCAAATAGAATAATAAATGAACAAAAAATAAACTAAAGCAGCTTCTCTTTCACTGTTACGTTTAATGACTTGAGTAAGCGCTGTAAAAATCAAACTGTACTTCTCAGAATAGTCTTCAGACCTCAGCCGGGAGTCCACAACTGGATTTAATTATGACTCACGGTGCTGAATGTAGCGATAATAATGACAATACCTGTTATTTGGCACGGGGAGAGGGTTTGATTTCATGACACACTGAGAAGTTACGCACAGAGCGGTGGGATAAAATCACTTCAAACTCTGTATTTTTCTTTTTTTGAGTAACTGTGGCCAACAAAAGTACATGTATTTGCAAAGTTTTATTACTATACTATTATATACGGTGACCGGCAAGTGCAAAAACAATTTAACATTTCGGAAACACATTGACAAGTTTGAAGTTACTTTTAGAATACACATTTACATCTCGGAAACAAATGTACGTTTCATAAAATACATTTGCAAAAACACGAAACATTTGTACAAGCGGCGAGACAAATTTACAAAAACACAAATGCAAACTTTCACAAGAGCCAGAAGTGCCGCAATGTAGATAAGCGTTTTTTCTACGGTAAACTATCTGTGTAAATGTGTGTCGACACTGTTAAATGGTTCTCATCATATTTTAAAGGGAGAACTCAGTGTGTTCGGGTAAACGGAGCCACTTCTCAACTACGAGCCAATCCCTTTGGAGAGCCACAGGGATCTGTACCTGGCCCCCTGCTTTTTTCCATAAATATTAATGACCTCCCTCAATGCTGTCCTGCTGTTAATGCTCAAATGTATGCTGATGACACTGTGCTGTATGTATGTTCAAAAACACCTGCTCATGCCTTACAGCTTGTCTCAAAATGGCTTAGAGTGTCACACTTGACTTTGAACGTAAAAAACAAAACAAAAAACTGTTTCTCTTTGGCTACGTTCAGACAGCAGGGCTTAACGCTCAATTCGGATTTTTTTGTGAAATCCGATGTTTTTGCGAGGTCGTTCACATTTCCAATTAAATGTGACTCCAGTGTGAACATTAAACGGCCCAAAAGTGTCCCGCATGTGCACTGGAGACACGATGACGTCAACCGCAGGGGAGTGTTCGCGCGGCGGACAGGACGCGGGGGGACTGTTTGCGTGGCTTACGGGACGTGGGGGGACTGTTCGCGTGGCTTACGGGACGCGGGGGGACTGTTCGCGTGGCGTACGGGACGTAGGGGGACTGTTCGCGTGGCTTACGGGACGTGGGGGACTGTTCGCGTGGCTTACGGGACGCGGGGGGACTGTTTGCGCGGCGTACAGGATGCGGGAGGACTGTTCGCGCGGCAGACGAAAGGAAGGACTGTCCGCACGGCATAAGGGACACGAGGGGACTGTTCGCGCGGTGTACGGAAGGAAGGACTGTTCGCGCGTCGTACAGGACACGGGGGGACTGTTCGCGCGGTGTACGGAAGGAAGGACTGTTCGCGCGTCGTACAGGACACGGGGGGGGACTGTTCGCGCGGCTATGTGAAGGGTGGGTCAGTCTGTGCGGCGTACGGGACGCAGGGACTCTCTGCGCAGAGTACGGGACCGAGGACAGTCTGCTGCTTAAAATGTTTTTATTAATGCCAAATAAAATATCCAGCACAAATTATACATGATGTGCTTACATTGATCATTTGTATATTTTACTTTACACTCATATTTAGTTTGTGGGACTGAAGTTTATCATCCCTCCCCCCTGTTATGTTGTGTGGTCCCACTCCCGCCCGCGCCTGCAGTGAGCTTTCAAAATGTGTCCCGCGCCGCACTGTTTTGCGTCAGGTCCCGCGGGTGCAGGGCTCTAATGTATATTTTAAATGTAATTTTGTTTTCAAACTTGTTAATGTGTGTTGTGAAATTTAAAAGTGTTTTGCACTTGCCGACCGCTGTAATTATACCATTAGCTGAGAGAATGTTTTCAGACACAAGTTATTTGGAATCAGTGATAACAAAGCACAATACTTAAGTACAGTTTTGAGGTATCTGTACTTTACATTTTACAGTGGATACTTTTACTTTTTACTTTTGCTTCACTACACATGAGAGCAAGTATCTGCACTTTCTACTCCACTACATTTTATTTTAGAACTGGACTGAAAAGTAAAAAGTAGTTTTCTTTACGGTTTGAGACCTGCTGAAATGGCTGAGATTTATTTTGAACACATTTCATTTGACTTTTCAATTCTGAGCAAACGAAATACACAAAAACAGCTAGAAATGTTAAGAAATCAATTGAATATCTTAAAATATTTGTATTTTTAATCAAAATCAGTGCATTTGATGGTTTAATTTTCTAAAAACATATCTGCAAAACACTCTTAAAGTACATCTTTAAACAGCTACTACAATACTTTTAGCTTTTATACATGTGATTTTTTTTACTTTTACTTGAGTAAACTTTCACCCCTGTATCTGTACTTTTACTTAAGTCACAAAAAAAGTACTTCATCCACCACTTTTTTTTAGAATAATAAAGTGATAAATAGGAAGATGTAGGCCAGGTTTTCCTACACTTATTTACATTTACTCAAGTTATACTTCAGTACTTCTTCTCAGAGTAGTTTTCAGGTGCAATACTTTTCTACTTGAGTGATACATTTGGCGTGTAGCAGTACTTTTACTTTGTACTTTACTCTTCTTATTGTAAGTAGTGCAAGTCTAAAGCTTTTCTTGTTTTGTGATCTGTTCTTTGAAAACAGATCTCTTATTTACTGTTTTGTCCTTGTAAATACTTTAAAAATCAAACTAATGCAAAACCCAGACAATTTACTTGAAGTACTTTCCATTATCTTTGAAGTTTGCGTTTGAAGTAATCGTAGGTCGCTCTTACTCGAGTACATTTTTGGCTTCTCTACCCACATCTGAACAATAGACAGACAGACAGAGGGACACATCAGAGCTCAGAGCTGGAAACAAAAGCAGTTTGTTCCTTTGGCTGTGAACCTTTGGACCAAAGCACGTTTCAACTTTTTTGTTCACTGACAGAGGCTAAAAAAAGCAATTTCTGATTCAGCAGAGTTTCTGATCGAGCAGCTGTCAAAAAAAGCAAATAAACAAACAAAAAAACTATATGAACACAATAAAAACTGGTGTCATATTTTGTCCAGTCTTCAACAGTCTATCAACAACAGATTTTCTCATGTGATAGGACTACTTTTACTTTTACTTGAGTAATCTTTTGCCCCTTTTCTTCATGGTTTGAGATTCGCTGAAATGGCTGAGATGTATTTTTAGCACGTTTAATTTGAGTTAACATCCCAACTTTTAGCAAATCAAAGCTAGAAAAATGAAGAAACCTATTGAATCACTTAAAATTATTTAATTTTCAAAAAATATCTCTGTGAAATATGTTTATTTTTTACTCTTAAAGTACATTTTTAAACACATTTACATTTTTAAAGTAAAAGTACTTCACTACTTTCATGAGATACTTTTACTTGAGTAATGTTTTGCCCCTGTGTCTGTACTTTTACTTTAGTAACAAAACTGAGTACTTCTCCACCACTGGGCTGTGTACAGTGGTAATGAAGTACAAAATACTTAGGGTAAGTACAATTTTTATGTTTCTGTACCTTACTTAAGGATATTTTACAGTGGACACTTTTTACTTGTACTTCACTACATTTGAGAGCAAGTATCTGTACTTTCTACTCCACTATGTTTTAGATCTGGACTGAAAAGTAAAAAGTACTTTTATTTAACGGTCTGAGACCCGCTGAAATGGCATTTAATTTGAGTTAATGTCCCAATTCTTAATCAAAATCACTACATTTGATGCAAAAGATGTTTACTTTTGACTCTTAAAGTACATTTTTAAACAGGTACTTCACTATTTTTACTTAATCTGATTTTTTCATGAGATACTTTTACTTTTACTTGAGTAATCTTTTGACCATGTATCTGTACTTTTACTTTAGTAACAAAATCAAGTACTTCTTCCACCACTGGATTGTGTACAGTGGTAATGAAGTACAAAAGTAAAAGTACAATACTTAAGTACAATTTTTAGGTTTCTATACTTTTCTTGAGTACATTTTACAGTGGATACTTTTTACTTGTACTTCACTACATTTGAGAGCAAGTATCTGTACTTTCTACTCTGCTACATTTTAGATCTGGGCTGAAAAGTAAAAAGTACTTTTGTTTTACGGTTTGAGACCTGCTGAAATCGCATTTAATTTGAGTTAACATCCCAATTCTTTATCAAAATCACAACATTTAATGCAAAATATGTTTACTTTTTACTCTTAAAGTACATTTTTAAACAGGTACTTCACTACTTTTACTTGAGTAATCTTTTGTCCCTCTATCTGTACTTTTACTTTAGTAACAAAACTGAGTACTTCTTCCATCACTGGGCTGTGTACAGTGGTAACGAAGTACAAAAGTAAAAGTACAATATTTAAGTAACATTTTTAGGTTTCTGTACATTTTACAGTGGATACTTTTACTTTTTACTTGTACTCCACTACATTTGAGAGCAAGTATCTGTACTTTCTACTCCGCTACGTTTTAGTCCTGGACTGAAAAATTAAAAAGTACTTTTTTTATGGTCTGAGACCCGCTGAAATGACATTTAATTTGAGTTAATGTCCCAATTCTTTATCAAAATCACTACATTTGATGCAAAAGATGTTTACTTTTTAAATTACATTTTTAAACAGGTACTTCACTACTTATACTTAATTCGACTTTTCATGAGATACTTTAACTTGAGTAATATTTTGCCCCTGTATCTGTACTTTTACTTTAGTCACAAAATTGAATACTTCTCCACCACTGGACTGTGTACATTGGCAATGAAATACAAAACACTTAGGGTAAGTACAGTTTTTATGTTTCTGTACCTTACTTAAGGATATTTTACAGTGGATACTTTTTACTTGTACTTCACTACATTTGAGAGCAAGTATCTGTACTTTCTACTCCACTACGTTTAAGATCTGGGCTGACAAGTAAAAAGTACTTTTATTTTTTACGGTTTGAGACCCGCTGAAATGGTTGAGACGTATTTTTAACACATTTAATTCGAGTTAATCAAAATCATTACATTTGATGCTTTAATTTTCTAAAAAATTCTGCAAAATATGTTTACTTTTTTACTCTTAAAGTGCATTTTAAAAAAGCTACTTAATTAGATTTTTTCATAAGATACTTTTACTTGTACTTGAGTAATCTTTTGCTCCTGCCTGTACTTTTACTTTAGTAACAAAACTGGTTTCTATACTTTGTTTTACGGTCTGAGACTTGTTGAAATGGCATTTACTTTGACTTAACGTCCCAATTCTTTATCAGAATCATGACATTTGATGCAAAATATGTTTACTTTTTACTCTTAAAGTACATTTTTAAACAGGTACTTCACTACTTTTACTTAATTTGACTTTTCATGAGAATCCTTAACTTGAATAATCTTTTGCCCCTGTATCTGTACTTTTACTTTAGTAACAAGACTGAGTACTTCTTCCACTACTGGGCTGTTTATAGTAAAGTAAATTTTTTTGTACATACATGTGGATACTTTTACTTTTACAAAAGTACTTTTTTTTTAACCTTTTGAGATGAGACGTATTTTTAGCACATTTAATTCGAGTTAACCATCCAAATCACTACATTTGATGCTTTAATTTTTCTAAAAATCTCTGCAAAATATGTTTACTTTTACTCTTAAAGTGCATTTTTAAAAAGGTACATCACTACTTTTACTTAATTCGATTTTTTCACGAGATACTTTTACGTTTACTTGAGTAATCTTTTGACCATGTATCTGTACTTTTACTTAAGTAGCAATTTTTAACACATTTGATTCACGTTAACATCCCAGTTCTTTATCAAAATCACAACATTTGATGCTTTAATTTTCTAAAAGTCTCTGAAAGTACCTCACTACTTTTACTTAATTCGAGTTTTTCATGAGATACTTGTACTTTTACTTGAGTAATCTTTTGCCTTTGTATCTGTACTTTTACTTTAGTAACAAAATACTTCTTCAAACCACCATCCTTCTCTTTAACCCTGACTTACCTCACAGTCAACTTCGAGTCTTTCCTCAGTTTCTTATTCTCTGCAAAAGGCCCAGAAGTGCATCAGAAAACTTGGAAACTCGCTCTTCTCTGTATCCTGTGGTCTGGGGTCCCGTTGCCAGTTCATATCCGCGGGGCCCATATCTTCAGAGCACGTTATTTGGCTCCCGTGTTTACATCTGTTTTTCATTTTCTGATGTAACCGAAAGCACACGAAGCGTTAAACCTTGCGAACAGTGCCATCTAGTGTCGAAAAAAGAGACAAGAAAGCTGAGGAGAGGAGAGGGGTCTGTGCGTAAAAGGGGCCACTTATCAGGCATTAATTCCACCCGGGGATGAGTTGAGGGAAGGGCTGACCTTTTTCCACGAACGGCCTGCCGTATTTTTTCAGTCCGGAG